GAAGAGTCAGAGGAGGCGATGGAGTACGTATCATCAAATTCAGATTATTCTGCGGAAGAAGACGGGATCGGTAGGCGAACTTTTCCGGCCTTGGATGGTCATAAATCCGGTGGAGGTAGCTCAGACCCAAGCGAGCCGGTAAAACCCAACGGTAAGAAATCAAGTGTGGATCAACGCTCAGAGGTAGATGTGTCAGATAGAGTCAGCGAAAGCAAATACGCTGAGGACGAAGATCTGGGAGCAGACGTAAGTGGGGTAAAGTCAAATCTGTATTCATTTGAGAAGGAAAGGGTTGAGCCTCCACCTGAAGAGAATCTGATGGCCCATTTCGAGAAGGAAAGTTTTGGGCCTTCACCTGAAGAGCAGATGTTGGCCCAATATCTACAAAACAAGGAGCCCTCGCTGATGGAACATACTAGCAGCTTAGACTTGGCTAACTGCGAACAGTTCGAAAAAAGGCCAGAGACTTTGAGAAACCTCGCCAAGGACCAAAAATGGGAGATCCTTTCGTTAGGCAAGGGAGGCTGGGTACCCCCGATTGGTGTTTCATCTATATCCATCATCAATTGTGTGCCGGAGGAGCAAGGGTTGAATTAAGCATATGCTAGATTTGTCGCAGAGGGAAGGGAGTCAATTCACGATGGCGAACAGAAGCAAAGGGCAAAGGCGATGGGGAATCAAATCAAGGCTGGCTCTCAGTCTCATTGCTCAAAATTCGAAGCAAGACATTTCGACTTAGAGACGGTCAATAATCAACCGTCAAGGACGCTGAGGAGACGCTGGGAAACCAGGGCATCGAAAGAAAGATACTGGGCACAAAACGACTATCAACTGATGTAGAAGGAACCGCTTGTAAGCCTGCGGATTGCGAACCGGTGGAATTAAATCAAGCAGTGGCTCGGAAAGGCATCGAGTTACAAAAGGAAGCCTTGATGACTAATGGAGGAGGGAAAACTAGCAACGACAGCCGATCCAATTCGGGTGCTTCAGCCAAAATTCTACGCAAGGAGAAGAGGTTAGATTTCTTTTCTGGTAACTCCATAAACGATAGTAATATAGTAAACTGCAATAAACTGTTCTGGTTAAATAAAGACTATCAGGAGGCGGTTAGAATATGGGAGATAGGGAGAGAGCTGGGGTTCTCGTACGAAGGAGATAACAACTTGATGGTAATGAAACTGAAGGAGATAGATGAAGAGGGGAGAGATTGTGACATATGAGGATATTAAGCTTAAATGTTAGAGGTATTAGGAGCCCCGGGAAAATCAAATACAGCAATACGTAACTGAACGAAGTACAATGGGGTTACGTATTGCTGCCCTAATTTTCCAAACTTTTCTAGGGTGGTTCACATAGCTAGATCTTTCAATTTTTCTTTTCACGATTTTTTCTCGTTGAATCCTATGATTTTAGCATGCTACCCAAGAGTTGCCACACCGGAAACTCCAAAAAAAGGTCGCTTACTATTTCTTTTTTAGATTTTTGAAGTTTTATTGCCCTATTTTTCCAAACTTTTCTATGGTAGTTCACATAACTAGACTTAGCATTTTGTCTTTCCGATTTTTTCGTTGTATCCTATGATTTTTAGGTGCATGTCCACCAAGAGTTGCCCCTCTCCACCGGTAACTAAAAATAATGCCGTTTACTATTTCTTATTTTATTTTTAAAGTTTTATTGCCCTATTTTTCCAAACTTTTCTAGCGTGGTTCACATAGGTAGACTTAGTTTTTTGCCTTGCCGATTTTTTCCGTTGAATCCTATGATTTTAGGCATCCTGACTCAAGAGTTGGGCCACTGGAAACTCCAAAAAAAGGTCGTTTACTATTTCCTTTTATTTTTGAAGTTTTATTGCCCTATTTTTTCAAGAACTTGGCTAAGGTGGTTCACATAGCTAGACTTAACATTTTTGTCTTGTCGATTTTTTCCGTTGAAACGTATGATTGTAGGTGCATGCCGACTCAAGAATTGTCTCACTCGAAACTCCAAAAAAAGGACGTTTCCTATTTCTTTTTTATTTTTAAAGTTTTATTGCCCTATTTTTCCTAACTTTTCTATGGTGGTTCACGTAGCTAGACTTAGCATTTTGCCTTTCTCGATTTTTTTTGTTGAATCCTATAATTTTTACGTGCATGCTGACCAAGAGTTGCCCCACTCCACCGGTAATTAAAGAAAATGTCGTTTACTATATTCTTTTTATTTTTCAAGTTTTATTGCCCTATTTTTCCAAACTTTTCTAGCGTGGTTCACCATACTTAGACTTAGTTTTTCGCTTTGTCATTTTTTCTATAAATCGTTATGATTTTAGGTGCATGATGATCAAGAGTTGTCCCGTTGTGGAAACTCCAGAAAAGCGACGTTTACTTTTTCTATTTTATTTTTGAAGTTTTATTGCCCTATTTTTCCAAACTTTTCTGGGGTCGTTCATATAGCTAGACTTAGCATTTTGCCTTCCGATTTTTTCTCGTTGAATCCTATGATTTTAGGTGCATGCCGACTCAAGAGTTGCCCCACCGGAAACTCCAAAAAAAGACCGTTTACTATTTCTTTTTTATTTTTGAAGTTTTATTGCCCTATTTTTCCAAACTTTTCTATGGTGGTTCACATAGTTAGACTTAGCATTTTGCCTTCTAATTTTTCTTCTATTGAATACTATGATTTTTAGGTGCATGCCGACCAAGAGTTGCCCCACTCCATCGGCTAACTAAAAATAATGTCGTTTGCTATTTCTTTTTTATTTTTCAAGTTTTATTGCCCTATTTTTCCAAACATTTTCTAGCGTGCTTCACATAGCTTAGACTTTGTTTTTTGTTTTGCTAATTTTTTCCCTGAATCCTATGATTTTAGGTGCGTGCTGACCAAGAGTTTGAGCCACTCGAAAACTCCAAAAAAGGCTAGTTTACTATTTCTTTTTTATTTTTGAAGTTTTATTGCCCTATTTTTCAAAAGCTTGTCTAAGGTGGTTCACATAGCTAGACTTAGTATTTTTGCCTTGCTAATTTTTTTGTTGAAACCTATGATTTTAGGTTCATGCCGACTCAGCAGTTGTCCCACTCGGAAACTCCAAAAAAA